ATTATGTTGTTTGTCTTCTTAATTTATATATAGGTTGGGGGAGGATGGAATGAAAGAGAAAGAGAGATTAGCTTCTTGTCTGTAATATTAGTTACAATATACATTATTTTCCATATTTATCGTATGCCTTTTGACTTTACTCATGGCGTTACAAGTTTAACATGCAGAATATTTTTTTAATGTATTAAACGTATCAATCTTTTCTTTTACGGCTTCTCAATTTTAGTTATAGAGTCCTTCCCAAAAATGTCTTGGTTAATTTTCACGTGCTACAGAATTTGAGAACCATGCTCAGACATTGCCTCCCTCACTAGAATGTAAATTCCTCAGTGGCAGGGACAAGAACTGAGTCATCTGTGTCCCCAGCAGCTCATAGTGCCTGGCACAGTGTAAAAGTTCAAGAAATGTTTATTGAATGAATAAATCCCAGTCGAGCCAAACCGTCCTCTTTCTGAGCACTGTGAAGAACCCTCAGGTTCGCCCCCTGCCGCCAGGCGAATGCTCTCTGGCTTTAGCGTGTGGCTACCTTTGTCTTTTCTGTGTCTGCTTTCTGCGCTTGTACTCAGGGTTTCTCGAGGCCACACTGCTTCTGAGTCACCCATTGGCTTATCTATCACGGGATGCCAAGTACCCTAAGGATGTTCAATAAGTGTCTGAGGCGTGAATGTCCAGAGACATTCCCCAGAACTTCCTTCCTGAAGTGCTTTGCTTGTACTTTTCTCCTGGCTCTTGGTCTGCCCTCAAGTTCCTCCCTCCTCTCCCTCCTGCTCATTCCCTCCTCAGGTCCTTTGCACTGATGTTTCCTTTGCCCTGACCGCTCCTCAGGACTTCAGAAGATCGGCTTTTCACCAGTCAGGATTCAGCTCGAAGCTCACCTCCTTGGAGGCCTTTCCTGAACCCATATGCCAATCTAACACTCCAGCCATTTGCTATCATATGACCTTGTTTTTTCCCCAAAACATTATTATCTGAAATTATTTTGTTTATTTGCATATTCGTTCATGGTCTGAGTTCCCCCTCCCCCAGATATGTCAGCTCCTTGACGTGTGGAGAGGGGGCACATAGTGTGTAATATCTGCTGAATGCATGAATCATGGTTGCCTGAGAGCTCCTTCGGGCAAGGGTTTAGATCTGAATAATAATCACAATAATAACTGCTATTTATTGACCTCTGAGGATGAACTAGGCTCCATAACAAGTAAATTTCATGATCGTGTCATTTCATCGTCATGAAAACCTAATGGAGTAGGAGCTATTTTTATCCCCATCCATCAGATCAAACTGAAGCTTAGAGAAGTTAGCTCACACACCAGACTGCTGTTTCTCAAAGTGGGCTCCCTGAGCGTCCACAGCGTCCCCATCACAAGGGACGCTTCATAAATGCAAATTCTTAGGCCCCACCCCAGACATACTGAGTCAAAAACTCTGGGTGGGGCCCAGCCATCTGAATTTTAACAAACCCTCCAGGTGATTCTGATATACTAAAGTATGAAAAACCTTGTGCTCAAAGAAAGATGAGGTTAAACTCTTTTTTAAAAAACTGGCACAGTGGCTCATGCCTGTAATCTCAGCACTTTGCAAGGTTGAGGCAGGAGAATCCTTGAGGCCAGGAGTTCAAGACCAGTCGAGGCAACATAGTGACGAGACCCACATCTACAAAAAAGACTTTTAAAAATAGCTGGTAGCTGGGAGGCTGAGGAAGAAGGATAGCTTGAGCCCAGGAGTTTGAGGCTGCAGTGAGCTATGGTCACACCACCGCACTCCAGCTTGGGTGACAGAGCGAGACCCAGTCCCTAAAAACAAAAAAACAGCTTTATTGAGATATAATTCATATACCATACAATTCACCCACTCAAGTGTACAAGTCAATGGTTTTAGTATATGTACAGGATTGTGCAGCCATCGCCAAAAATATTAATAGGTTGTGATTATTATAATAGGTTAGAAAATTTTGTTTCCCCTAAAAGAAACCCTGTACTCATTAGCAGTGACTCCCCATTCCTCTCCCACTCCCCACTCTGAGCTCTAAGCAACCACTAATTTATTTTCTGTCTTTATAGATTTGCTTATTCTGGACATTTCATACAAGTGGATTATGTAAAACATATATGATCTTTTGTGACTGGCTTCTGCCACTTTGCATAATGTTTTCAAGCTTCCTTCATGTAGTAGCATATATCCTTTTTATTGACAAATAATATCTCGTTTATGGATATACCACATTTTTTAATCCATTCATCAATTGATGATCATTCATGTT